TACATTCCAGGTTCCTATGCAGTATTTTTCTTTGCAGCATCAGACTTTCCTTTTACTTCCAGGCACGTCCACAGCAGAGCATCCTTTCGGTTGTCCCATCCGCTTCATTAGCTCTGGAGCTACTTGTACTTGTCCTCCACTCTTCCTCAGTAGCATATTGGACACCTTCTAACCTGAGGGGCTCATCTTCCAGTGTCATATCTTTTAGCTTTTTATTTCTGTGCATGGAGTTTTCCTGGCAAAGGCACTGGAGTTGCTTGCCAGTTCCTGCTCCAGGTGGATCGCGTTTAGTTAGGACTCTCCACTATGACCTGTCCGTTTTCAGTGTCCCTGCACGGCATAGCCCATAGCTTCTCTGAGTTACTCAAGCCCCTTCGCCATGACAAGACAGCAATCCATGAAGGGGATCATCTATATATGTGACTGCAAAATATTGTACAGGTGTTAACATTTGGTCCATAAGATGTTGGTACGTAGCCACTGCCACCTGCAAGCCAAAGGGCATGTAAGTGAATTGGTAGTGCCTGATTTTTTTTGGGGGGGGAAAGCCATCTTCCTATCGGTCTCTTGGAGAGGGATTTGACAATACCCCTTTTCTTAATCTCTCAATTTGTCCACACTGGGTATGGGGTAGGCATCGAAAATAGATTCTGCATTCACTCAGCGGAAACCAATGCAAAACCTAGTGTTGCCATCGGGTTTGGGAACTAGAACTGGGTGGCTGTACCATGGGCTGCTGGAGGGCTCAGTAGCCCCCAGATGAAACATGGAGTTGGCTTAAAATTAACTTCTAACCATATTTTTTGTACATAGAAAATAGACTAAATAATAAGAGATACATTTTCATTTGTTTTGTCCAGTTACATCACTTCTGGTCTATCTTCAATCTCCATCCAATTAACCTATTGCCGTTCAGTTAGATAAACACAGTAAACTGGTCCTGACATCCAAAAGTGTTCCATCTTTCTCTTCTAGTTTGGACACAAGGATTTGGGAAATTCCCACACATTCACTTTTCATTCCGCAAGCTATGTGGAGCCAATTTTTAAAAGCAAAGGAATTCTGAAAAGTTTCCTGAGTGTTGCGTTTTATTTGAAAAATATAAAGATATTTTAGGATTTTCACTAAAAAAAGTTTTATTTTATTTAACCCTCCTGCTTTTCTGTCTCGACATGCAAATGAAATGGAATTAAGCAAGAAGGATCCTTTCCTTTTGGCTGCCCTTGGTGCATCTATCGGCTCATTTTCCCATGACCATCAATGAGAAAAACAAATCCCTTGCTTGATCCCCAATCAGATGGCCTTCTGTGCTTTACTCCTTCTTCTCTCTTTTTTTCCCTACTTCAGGTCACAAACAGGAGAACCAGAAATTGATGGAACCACCTGTTCTGATAATGAAAGCAACCAATTAAGAAGTAGGAAAGAGGAAAATCCAATTCCCACAAGGAGGAAAAAAGGCAAAATGGAAGGCAGATAATGGTAGAGCAAAACAAATCTCCAGGTGATTTTTATAAACTCCTGACAATCCAAATGTAATACTAGGAATAAGGAAAGTGAAATTGTTCCTTTGGCAGAAAAACTTGCAAGAGTGCCTAGAAGTTGTTGAGTCCACCTAGAGGAAAAGCCATGTCAATTCATGGAGAAAATGTCACTATGAAGAATATTTCACATGAAAAACTCCTTGGCGGGGAGAAAAGGTATAACTGTCTGCAGTGTGGAAAGAGCTTCAGAAGAAGGCAGTACCTAAATAAACATCAAAGAACTCACACAGGGGAGAAACCATATGAATGCCTGGAATGTGGGAAGAGCTTCAGTTGGGGAGATCAACTTAATGACCATCAAAGAACTCATACGGGAGAGAAGCCATATAAGTGCATAGAATGCGGGAAAAGCTATAGCCGAAAGAGTGCCCTACGTTTACATCAAAGGATTCACACAGGGGAGAAACCATATAAATGCTTGGAATGTGGAAACAGCTTCACTTGGAAAGATCAACTTAGTTCCCATCAAACAACTCACACAGGAGAGATGCCAAATAAATGCACAGAATGTGGGAAAAGCTTTAGTCGAAGGAGTGCCCTACATTTACACCAAAGAACTCACACGGGAGAGAAACCATATAAATGCTTGGAATGTGGAAAGAGCTTCAGACACAGCGGTAGCCTAACTGCACATCACAGAAGTCACACAGGGGAGAAACAATATAAATGCCTGGAATGTGGACGGAGCTTTAATCGCAGTGATAGTCTAAGAACACATCAAAGAATTCATACAAGGGCAAAATCATATAAATGCATAGAATGTGGAAATGTCTTTGGTTCCACCAGTAGCTTAAATAAACATTGGAGAAGTCACACAGGGGAGAAATCATATGAATGCCTGGAATGTGGACAGATATTCAGTCAGAGCAGTTCCCTACGTTTACATGAAAGAACTCACAAAGGGGATAAACCATATGAATGCATGGAATGCGGAAAGAGATACAGTAAGAATTGGTACCTTAGAGCCCATCAAAGAATTCATACAGGGGAGAAACCATATAAATGCCTGGAATGTGGAAAGAGTTTCAGGTTCAGCAGTTCCCTAAGGTTGCATAAAAGAATTCACACTGGAGAACAACCATATAAATGCATGGACTGTGGGCGGAGCTTTAATCACAGTGGTAGCCTGAGAATGCATCAAAGAATTCATACAGGGAAGAAATCATATAAATGCTTGGAATGTGGAAAGAACTTCAGCCACAGCAGTAGTCGAAATGCACATCAGAGAACACATAGAGGGGAGAAACCATATGAATGCCTGGAATGTGGTAAGAGCTTCAATCAGAGCAGTTCCCTACATTTACATGAAAGAATTCACACAGGGGATAAACCATATGATTGCATGCAATGTGGAAAGCGCTTCAGTCAGAGAGCTCACCTTAGTTCCCATCAAAGAATTCACAGTGCAGAAAAACCATATAATTGCACGGAATGTGGACTGAGCTTTAAACGGAATGATAACCTGAGGTTACATCAAAGTATTCACACAGGGGAGAAATCATATAAATGTTTGGAATGTGGAAAGAACTTCAGTCACAGCAGTAACCTAAATGTACATCAGAGAACTCACACAGGGGAGAAACCATATAATTGCATGGAATGTGGGAAGGGATTCAGTCGGAAAGATTACCTTCGTTCCCATCAAAGAATTCACACAGGGGAGAAGCCATATAAATGCATAGAATGTGGGAAGATGTTCAGTAAAAGTAGTGCCCTACGTTACCATCAAAAAACTCACACAGGGGGTCTAGAAATTATAAAATGACAATGGCAACATCTTATAAAGAGAACTTATATAAAATGTTTATAGATGCCATTTACCATCTGATAGAATGTACTAGAATGTGCTAAAATGTACTCTAGTCTAATAGGTTAAGTAAATGCTGGAAATGTCATAAAAAACTGGAACTTATGATCATCTTTGGTGGACCTGTGATAAAGCAATTTTTTTAAAAAAAATAATAATAAAAAACATTTAGATTTTAAGCCAGAACTCTTTTTATTAGGTAAAATACCAGAAAGTGTTGATGAACAAAATGTATATTTAATACTGCATATTTTAACAGCCACAAGCATTATATTTTCACAATACTGGAAAAATGAAGAAACACCTACAGATCAAGAAATAATTAAAAAGATATTGGACTGTGCTGAAATGGATAGACTGACACTGAAAATCAAAGGAAAGAAAGATGCAGAATATTATCAAATATGGAACTTGTTTTATCAATGGTTAGAAGCATATTGTATAGATTAAAAACTTAATATGTATTATTGTTGTATTAATAAATAATTGTAAGCTGAGCCCAGGTGACACAATGTTAAATAAGCATAGATGGATTTTATAAATAATAATAATAATAATAAAAAGAAAAACTTAAAAAAGCTCACTCAAGGGAGAAGCCATATAAATGCCTGGAATGTGGAAAGTG